GTTTGCAACAGAAGTTGATTCGGAATCAACTTCTATCCCCTCCAGTGATGCCCGGAGCTGGATAAAGTTTATTCGAATGACATTTAAAAAAAGAGGCAACTCGAGCCGAAGTGAACAAGATGTCCTGGTGTGGGTTGCTCGTACGAGCGACGTTGAAACTGCAGAGTTTGGTGTGGCGTTGCATGGAATGAACACCTCATTCTCGGACGAAGCGCCATTTCCACACGAGGAAGTGACTTCTTGAGGTCACAAATTCACAATTGCTGTCGTCGCAACTGCGAACTGCCAGAATCTTCCTGATGAGAATCGAAAATTGTAATTGTTAACAGAGTTGACACCTCGTTTCTTCCTAGTTTTGACAACCACAATTTTCACTCGTTTAACGCATTTTGGCGAAAAACGCATACGTTTAACCTCGTTCGCCGAATTTACGATGGGTGCGCGCCGGCCGGAGGAGTCGCACTGGTTCGCCTCCGTGTATGACCCGATCGCTGCAGGGTCCATCGACGGCGCCGAGGCCGACGTCGCGCACGACAAGGCCCTCCTCCGCGCCCTCAACGCGCCATACGATGCGGCGCGGGATCCCAAGATCGTGGGCGACCCGCTCTGCACGCTCTTTGTCGGACGATTAAGCTACGCGACAACCGAGGAGACGCTGCGCAGCGTCTTTGGCCGCTTTGGCGAGATCCGCCACTTGCGATTGGTGCGCCATGTCGTGACGCAGGAGAGCCGCGGGTACGCCTTCATCGCGTTCGCCCGCGAGAAGGACTTTGAGGCCGCCTATCGCACCACAAACCGGTACGACGCTTCCTCCGGACGCGGCGCGAGACCGCAAGTGTGATGTAGAATGCTTCTTGATGGACGTCGGATCCTCGTCGAATTTGAGCGCGAGCGCATCATGCCGGGCTGGAAGCCTCGGCGTCTTGGCGGTGGTCTTGGTGGAAAAAAGGAGTCTGGCCAGCTGCGTTTCGGCGGCCGCGATCGACCGTTCCGCGTCCCCAGATCGTAGCACACTTCTTGCTTCATTTCTACAACGCCTGCAGGTGTGCGGTCAAATATTCTCTGCCCAAGCGCGACGCAACCACGCTGGCCGAACATGGTTCCCCTTCTCTTCGCCTTGATCAAATCCAACGCTAATAGTTTGTAAGAAAGGTTTGTGTTGGCGACTACGGGGCCTGTCGGAAGCGGCCCCGACACACAGCGCTGCCATGCTCGAGGTACTCGGCGCGTGTGACGGTCAGCACGTCGTCGTCCGTTGCCATGACCTGGCAGCCTTGCCATACAGCCCCAATCGGACTAACACCCACGGGGATCATTTAGCCGAATCCCTCAAGTAGACGATGGTACTCTGTCGTGCTGGAAATCCCGAGGGCGTACTCGGAGGGCACGAGGGGTCGAAGGTCCGCGTGCAGTCGCTCGCGAAGTCGCGGCAGCTTTGAGGTTCCGCCCGTGAGTACAATGTTGAGGAAGAGGAGTCCCTATGTCATGTGAGATCTATTTGGAGCGAACGGGATGGTTTACGTGGGCGTAGTCGGGGCACGCCAGGATCGCATCGGCAATGCCAAAAGCAAGCCCGGCTTGGTCCAAGCCAATGTCCGACGGATGAAAAAGGATCTCTGGCACAGTGATTTGCTCGACACCGAGCCGCAACACCTACGCAAACAACGAGATGATTGATCACGAAGGGCGCGGAGCGTCTACTTGAGTCGAGTCGTGCAACATCGAGTCGGGGGTCTACAACGGCTCATAGACAAGCGAAACGAAGTAGAGTGCGCGTCGTACAACAATAGCACCGTGCTTCGTGTGGACGTAGTCGGGCAACGCCCACTGCACAACAGGTGCGTCGCGCGAAGCAAAGGCGTGCATGTCGGAGGTAAAGTTCAGCGAACAGCCGCAGACCGCCTCCTTGACCTCGTCGATAATCTCGAACGAATCCATCATGTTCCACTGCCGGTAGCTCACGCACTCCTTCATGTAGTTGGTCAGAAGCTTTCCGCCGACGTTCAGTCGCCGCACTGCACTCAGCACGACGTTGCCTATTCGTGTGATAAGCACCAACTCAAAGCATCGCGTGGACCTTGAATGACGGGTACGATGTACGTGCATGAGAAGCCCAGGTCGACGATACACGTGACGGGCGGCTGCTGCGAGAGCCCATGCGCAACCATGGCTTGGGGCACAACAGACGCATATGCGCTATACTCGAACTCTTCAAAGACAACCTCGTCCTGCGTCGCAAGGAGCTTCTCGGGCGTAAAGAGAGGCGACGTCAGCACCAAAGTGTGGTCCTTGCCCGGCGGGACGAGGTCCTGCAGCAGATCGCCCTATGTACGCGTGAGCTGCGCTTGGGTGATCGAGAGCTTTTGCCTGGAGCGTCCAGTTAACAACGTAGCCGCGCTCAATAGGCCGGCGGATCTGAATGGCGCTTGCCTTGGCGCTCATTCGCATGTAGTTGGGCGTCGTCGTGTACCTCGGGCTCGTCGCTAGGCCATGCTTGAGCGACGCGCCGCCCACGTCCACGATGTACACGGCCATTTGCCAAATCTTGGCAACGAGCCGGATACTGTGGGTCACTAACCGGATACCACTTTTTGGTGAAATTGGGATCTTTTCTGCGTTGTCATCAAGCTTTCGCTGGTACTCTAGTAGCTCTCTCGTAGTATAGCTCGATGATGGTGTAGCTATCAGGATGATAGGGACGCGAAGGATACAAACATGAATATATTTTGCTGGCCATGCCTACTCTTCGTCGCATTCGTCGTCAAGGCCGTAAGCCGCGAGAAGTTCCTGGCGGTTGGTCGGGGTGTTCTCCACGAGGGTCTTGAGGAGCGCAGCTTCTTCGCTCTCGCGGCCACTGCAAATGCAAGAGAGGTCGTACGCTTGCTGGTACGTCTCCTTGGCGGCGGCGGCATTCCCGGTACCGACGTAGCTCTGCGCCAGTTGATCGAGGAGCTGGACCTTGTTGTCGTGCGGGTAAGGCACCGCATAGTCAGCCGACTCGAGCATCATCTTGTAGGCGACAACCATGTCTGAGGCCGGCACGTCTTCCGACATGAGCCAAGCCCCTGTGAGGTGGTCGAGCGCGTGGTATACCGCACTGTGGTACTTGTGCACGAGCGACTTGGCAACGAGTTCTTGGAGCTCCAAAACAGACTCGACGGCGTCGAGCTGGTCGAGAAGGAGGTCGTCGGCGATCGTTGCCTCGTCTTCAGAGATCGTAGCGCTGCACGAAGTACACGCAAAGACAGTCTTCGTAGGGTGCATGATACCGGTGCAGCCAGGCGTGTGGCACTTGTATGCGCCTTTGAATGAAATGAATTCTCGGATCGGTCAAGAAACAATGACGTACGCGACTGGTCGGGGAGGGCACCCGTGCACCATTCGCAGGCACATGTGAGGCCCATCATGGTCATGGCGCCGATGCGCTCCGCGCCCGTGCTCAAAAAGAGGTCGAACGTATCGAGCGTGAGAACTTCACCAGCAGCAATCGGCTTGATCGCAGTCACCCAGATCGTCGTGCCGTCGGTCGAGAGGTTGCAGTTGGGAATGCAGCGGTGCATAAGGCGCGCCACGTCCGGAAACAAGCCGGTGCCAGCGATCTAGTGCAAAGTGAGCTTATTTTGAACAACGTATCCATCGACGTACATCTTCGAGTTCGTGGCTGTGGCCGTGCAGAACACCAATCATGTGCGCAACATCGTCATCGGTCAGCGTAGAGGGCACGACGCCAGGGAACTCGGCCCGAAGCGAGACGGCAGCGTCCAAGTACTCGGCGTCGGGTTGCACCTTGAGAATGCGAAGGCGGCCCACAATGGACGCGTTGTCCGTCGCGAGCTTGACGAGCTTGAACAAGTTTTTGCTCAAGTCCACCATGTGCAGCACTTCGTGCGACGAGCAAAACGCCATGAGCGCATCAAAGTGCTCGACGACCGCCGAGCTCACCTAAGAAAGAGCGTCAGCAGCGTGACCTTGGACAGCAACGCACCAAGTCGATTTCAAGCTCATCGAGCTCTTCTGTCTCGGCGTCTTCGTCGTCGTCCTCGACCACTTTGCAGCCGCCGCACTCCTCGTCGTCACAGTCAATGTCGTGCTCGTCCTCCTCGACGCCAGCGCTCGACGAGACAACCGCGACTTCGTAAAAGATGACGTCGCCCGCAGCGATGGCCGTGGTCGCGGCAACCGGAGCCGAGGCGTCGTGCGTCACAGCGGCGTCGTGGAAGGTCGGGGCGGCGAAGTACAGAGACATTACAATCGAGAAGTGATCCGCACAATGGGGCAAGTGCGACGGGTTCTATACCGTGACGCATCATTTCTACGCGGCAGCTGGACGACCACGCGCCTGGTTCGCCAGCTGCCAAGACACACGAACGCAGCTGCCGTCATCACCACCAATCGTGTCGAGAGTTGGACCTGATCATGATTGGCGAAGCCGCATCGACATCGCTGGTCGCCCTGACAATGCCGGGTCGTCACTCCACACCAGGTTCCATGAGCGAGGCTCGTCACCAAGCACATCTTTGCTTGCCCAGCGACGCTCGCCAGCTACCTCTTCTCGAGACAAACTGTCAATGACACAATGCATGATCATTTTCCATCACGAACATGTGACAAACCAAAATAAAAGTTAGATTAGGCGCATCATTTACGCCGTCTCGTCCACAAGCTCGTAGCCGTACACGGCCATCATCTCCTCCGGCGTCGTGGGCGTGTGCTCCATGAGCTGCTTGAACATCGTCGTCTCCTCGTAGTCGGCACCGTAGCACGTCTTTGCCATGTTGTACGCGGCCGTGTAGGCCTCCGTGGCCGCAGGGATGTCACCCGTCGAGATGTTCATCTGCGCGATCGAGTTGTAGACCGACACCTTCTCGCCGTGCGGGACATCGATGACGTATTCGAGGCAGTCGAGGATGCGGCGGTAAATCGCGATCGCATCCGCCTCCGTAAGGTTCTCGTCCTCGACGGCCTCCTCGACCATGGCCGTGAGCGCCGCGTGGAAGATGTAGTGGTACTTGTGGAGGGGCGAGGCCGCGATGGCAGCATCGAGCTCCTCGACCGACGTCGCGTCGATCTCCTCGGGCAGCGTAATCTCGAGCGTTTCGACCTCTTCGACCTGCTCGTTCGTAAACATCTTGCCGCACGCCGTGCAAGCAAACGTGTTCTTGATTGGGTGCACAATGCCGGCGCACGCAGCGTCCTTGCACTTGAAGGCGCGGCACTTGTCCGGGAGCGTGCCGGCGCAGATGCCGCAGTTGCACGTGGCCTCGTCCTCGGCGAGCGACTTGGTGCGCTCGGCCTGCGGCTGGTACGTGAGGTCGTACAGATCGACGGTCAGCGTCTCGCCAGCAGCGATGGGCTTAATGGCCGTCACCCAGATGTTCTTGCCAGAGTCGGTGAAGTTGCAGTTGGGCGTGCAGCTGTGCGTGAGCTTGGCGACGTACAGGAAGAGGCCCGAGCCGCGGATGTCGTCGAGCGGGATGCAGTACTTGTTGAGGACACCGATGACGTGCGCGACCTGGTCGTCCGTGAGGCCGGCGGGGATGACCGTGGGGACGGCAGCACGGAGGCCGACAGCCGCCTCGAGGTAATCGGCCGCTTCCTTGGCGCTGACCTTGAAGCCAAAGATCGTCTGGAGCGCGTTCGAGTCGTTTTCGTAGAGGCGGAAGAGCTTGAGCATGTTTTTGCGCACATCCACCATGCCGAGCACGTCCGTCGACTCGCAGTAAATGTTGAGCTCGTCAAACGCGGCCGCGGCCGCGGGCGAGACCTAGGACACGCCAGCGTGAGATCGATTTGTTTTTCGAATTGATATTGTACCGCCGCGAGGTCCTCGTCGTCGAGCTCTTCCTTCTCGTCCTCGTCGACTTCACGGCAGCCACCGCAGTTGTCGTCGTCGCAGTCGTCCTCGTGGTCCTCTTCGTCCATGAGGCCAAACGACGACGAGACAAGCGCCTCCTCGGCAAAGATGACGTCGCCGGCGGCAAAGGCCGACGCGGCGGTGATCGGCGCCGAAATATCCTGCGAGACCTTGGCGGCGGCGAAAGCAGGGGCGTTGAAGTTCAAGGTCATGGCTGCGGTGTCGAGTTCAAGTAGAAAAGTGATGCGACCTGACGATCTTCGTCGTCCCCGCCACCGAAGCGTTATCCGGTTACGCGCCTCCGGTTGCGGGACATCCCAAAAAGCTTGAAGGTAAAGACACGGGGCGGCTTGGGTGGCCAGCATACGCATGCGACGATGCAGGCCTCTCCCGCAGCAGAGGCGCCGGCAGTCGCGCCTGCTGGATCCGCGGCAACTGGAGTGGCGCCAGCTACGCGATGGTCCTGCCGCGAATGGCGTTGCCGCCGGTGTCGTCGACGTCCTGGTAAACGGCGTATCTTTGCGTCCCGTGGGATAAATCGTGCGAGCTCGCGCGTCCGCGACGGGGCGCCGACGTCAATGACTCGGCAATCTGTTACGCACGAGTGCCATGTACTATTGGGGGTTTTGACAAGTGGGTCACCTAATGTACGCAACGACCAACGAGCTCACAGCGCGAAGCGATTCGATGCGCAATCAATTCCCAACCGGCGCTAGCGGTCGGCTTGCAACACCACACACGTTCAGTTATTCGCTGTGAAATGGCCGCCATGACCGCCCACAAACGTGTCAATGACTCGCAATGAACCATGATTGTTGGGTACGAAGTAGTAAGATAGCAAGTATGACCCTTGCATCATTTTTACGTTTGCGCCTTCGTTCGATCGTCACAAGGCGAGGGCACGCGAGGCATTCACTGCAGTAGTATGCTACCAACCAGCGTACTTCTCCACTGGCTCAATGGCGGATTCGTGCACTCGTCCCACAAGAGTCGTGAAAGCGATACCCAGATTGGCTTGCTTTATCTGTCTTGGACATGTACCCTCGGAAGAGCCCCGAGCCCTATGACAGACGAGCCATTTTCCGTCCGAGGATTTTGGTGGCATTGATACCGTGCATAATGGCATGATTGCACTTGGGTCAAATGATCGCCACACGGAGAGATGGGCAGTTCACCCGAAATGGACTGGAAAACGCTGGCATTCAAGAGGCAGAAAATTGCAGTTCCGAAGGTGCAGAGACTGCTGCAACTCAGACGCCAATCACGACCCTCGTGTGCACATCCCTCTTGAGTATGGTTTGTGTTTGCAGCTGCGACGCTTCTCGCCAAAAGCCTCTCACCACCAGACCCAGACCGTGTGAATGGTGGTGCTTACTACCCTACGAGCCAACCACAGCCAATGAATCGGTCAAGGGCTCCCGGGGGAGAAGCCCCAGAGGTGCACCATGTCATTCGTTTCCATCTCAGTCGGTCTCGTGGTCGCCACATCGGCTTCCGTATTGTGGAAGCTACTCCACCCCCAGCGAAGCTCGGAATAATCCGCGGATCAACTTGAAGTTGCCGAATGGCAGAAGCACATCAGAGCCGACCCATGGTCATTCCCAATGGACGCTGTACAAGCTATCGACAAGCATGATCACGCTGCTGCGACGCAACGGATGACCTTCGTGCCCTTCGTTTCTCTTTCCAAGGATGCGCCGTCGTAGGGTCTGAGGGCAACCGATCCCTCTCAGCTGGGCCCGTCCACGCACGACCGCAGTGGGACAGTGTGATAGCTGCAAGTGGCACTCGGAAATCGAAGCTCGCCTACTGTACGGCAGCCTCCATCACGGAATCGAGAGCTCATTTCCCAACTTGCTACGACGAAGCCAAACCATGTCCTTTGAGACGCACAAGGTGTCCTCCCTGCCCGGCTACGCCGATGACTCGCCGATCAACTTTGACCAGTACGCGGGCAACGTCGCGCTCCCGTCGAATGGCCAGAAGATGTTCTACTGGCTCGTCGAGTCCCAGGCCAACCCGTCGACGGACCCACTCGTGCTCTGGCTCAACGGCGGTCCCGGCTGCTCGTCGCTCGGCGGCTTCTTCACGGAGCTCGGCCCGTTCGTCGTCAACAGCGACTTGAGCGTGAAGCGCAACCCGTACGCGTGGAACCGCAAGGCCAACATGGTATTCCTCGAGTCGCCGTCCGGCGTCGGCTTTAGCCAGCCTCTCCTCGACGGCGCCAACTACAACGACGACTTTACGACAGCGCGCATCTACGAATTCCTCGAGCAGTTCCTCGCTCTGTACCCGACGTACCGCGGCCGGGACTTTTACATCACGGGCGAGAGCTACGCGGGCATGTACGTGCCTTGGCTAGCGCACGCACTCGTGACGAAGCCGATCCCGTCGCTCGCCTTCGCAGGCTTTGCGATCGGGAACGCGTACACGGACACGGCGATCGACAACCCGTCGGTCATCGACTACTACTACCACCACGCGCTCATGTCGCTCGAGGACTACAAGGCGATTCAAGCGGGCTGCCCGAATGCGACCGTCACCAACGCGTGCCTGAACGAAGACGCCAAGAAGTGCCCGACGGCCTGCGGCAAGCCTCTCAACGCCGCCCTCGACGCGATCCAGACGGACAAAATGGACGCCTACTACATTTATGGCGACGTGTGCTTCCTCAGCGAGGGACAGACCCTCGCCCTCCAGAACATTCGGCCCATGAACCGCGGTGTCTACGGTCCTTGCCGCGACGTCTTCACGCAAGACTACCTGCGCCAGCCCAAGGTCCAGTCTGCGCTGCACGTCGAGACCAACAACGTTAACTGGACCGACTGCAACGATGCTGTGAGCAACCTGTACCACAGCAGCGCCTCGTCGCTGCCCAAGTACCCCGCGATCCTCAGCGCAGGCTTGAAGGCCTTGATCTACAGCGGCGACGCTGACACGGTCGTCAACTTTCTCGGCACCCAGCGCTGGCTCACGACCGATGGCCTCAACTTGTCTGTCGAGAGCAAGTGGAAGGCGTGGTTCGGCCCCGACAAGCAGCTCGCGGGCTACACGGAGGGCTACACCAACCTCACGTTTACGACGATCAAGGGCGCGGGCCACATGGTACCCTCGGTGCGGCCACTCCACGCGCTCTACATGTTTGAGTGCTTCCTCTTTGGCAACGATGTTTGCAAGACGTTCACGTACCCCAAGGACGACCTCGAGTACATCACGGGTGCCGAGACGGACATCAACTTTGGCAGTAGCACGTTCTGGCCATGGCTCCTCGTTCTCGCTGTGGCTTTCGCGGCGCTCATCGCCGGCATTCTGTACACCAAGAAGCAGAGAACCGAGAAGAAGTACACGGAGCTCACGGCTGTCGTCCAGACCGGCTACACCAACTAGATGTCAACTTTTACTGCAATTTTGAGCATGTGCTGTCATGCAAGTTGACCTTCTCAGGTGACAACAAGTGTTTACTGGTTGCAGCTCCAATAAACAGCCAGGAGGCATCTTGGCGTTTAAGTGCCGTTGGCTTCAGTCTCGAAGCACCAGATAATGCTAGAACCACCCGTGCAGCTGGCATGCGATGACTGGCCATGGCCGTTACCGAGCGTATTACAATCTGAGTACTCAGCCGCGAATCGACTAAATTTTCAACTGATTCGCCATCGTCACAAACGGCTTCGATGGAACACAAGCTGCGAATGCTCTTTGCATCATCGGTCGACTGCGACGTTCGTGAAGCGCCGAGTCGGTGGTTTCGTCGTGGGGCACGGACGCACGAACCCTTTTTTGGCACGCCTACTGATTGGCAACTTGAAGCTGGCACGCACCAATGAAAACGGAAGGAGCTTCCCCATCACGCGCGCGCTGCTCACTTTGCCTTTGACAACGACCCATGCACATCGTGAGTGCGCTCAT